GGTCAGAGCTGGCGTGAGGCACCGCACATTTTCACGTCAAGTTTGAATTTTATAAATCACAACCTTGGTGTAAAAAGTGGCGTACACAAGTTTCTGGGCTCAAATTGTGCGTACGCCAGTTTTATAAATCCGACCCCTGAACTGTTACTTTATCTGAAGTATCAACTTGATCTTCACTCCCAATTTCTTTCATTTGCATATTGTTTTTTTATMCAAAGTGTCTCATATTAAGTTTGCATCATCTCTAAAATGAACCTAGAGCCATTCATATTGAATTGTTTTTAACAGTTTTGAGAAGTATTTTTAAAAGCAAACACATTCTATTCTAGCTAATGTTAAATCTACAGGAAGGCTAAATAGGAACAGAACTGAAGCATCATTTATGTTTTTTCTGCTAGTTTACTTTTTTGTCATTTTTACGTTTCCTTCTATTTAAGTTTTTGCACTTTTGGCTGTTTTTTGTTTTGTTCTGTTTTGCACATTGTGTTATTTAAATCTGTTGCTTGTCTACATATTTTCTTGTTTTCTACCATTTTTTTCTTTGGTCTTCTTTTTGTCTTTGTCTTTTGTTGCCATAGTCTCTTACTGTCCATATTATTCATCCTCCCATGCGTCCGTTAAAGTCAGAGAGGGCAGCAGTTACTGGGGGCCACTGGGCTATGAGCCCCTAATAACCCCAAAGAGCTCCCAAAGCCCAGATCAGCACGCTGCCTCTAAGCGAGCGCGCATATTCAAGTTTAGAATGAGAAGGGAGTCCTTTCAAGGTGATAAAAGGTGAGCCTCGAGAAAAAACAAATTAATAATTCTTACAATTTGCTGCCAGCTCCTCTGGAGTTGAAAGTGCTCCAGCAGTGCTTTTGTTTTTGGCTCTTGTCAGACTTCAATAAGTGTTTGCAGAAGTTGAGCTGCAGGATTTGAGCTGGTTTTAAGTGTTCTGGTGTGGTCCTACAGGCCAGACGGGCTGAGCACAGTGAAAGTGGAYGAGAAGGAACGCTTCGAAGACATCAAAGAACGGTTGCGTGTGATTTTGGAGAACCACATTGTAAATTTCAGGTGATTACCAACTCACCAACATCACATTACCTGTGTGGATAGTTGGTTCAGTTGTGGCATTTTCGATTTTACTTTGTAGATATTGTTTCCCCTTCGGTCGTCCAGAGGGTGCACTGAAAGCCACTYTATCTCTGCTGGAGAGGGTTTGTAAACACAATATAAACAGCCTTGTATAAAATGTAATTTGGGGCCTAATAAAAATATTAAGAGCAGATAGTTTTGCTTTTAGGTGCTGATGAAGGATATCGTGACTCCCGTTCCTCCAGAGGAAGTTAAAGGAGTTATCCGCAAATGTTTGGAGCAGGCCGCTCAGCTCAACTACCAGCGGATCACAGATTATGCCAAAATTGAAGGTAAACAGAACAACTCAATCACACAGCACATGATTGCTGGAGAAAATGCTATTATGATGTTAAAAATATTTCCACTGGCCATTATAATGTCAGCATTACCCAGAGTCATGCTGACACAGTTGTTTGCTTTCAGACTGAATCATTAGTCATGTGGACTTAAAGAAAAATACACTGTTTATTTCCCATTTTATCTTGTTCTGCAGTGAGACGGTGCCTGTCACGATTAACTATATTATTATTTTTACCCATGTTAAGTTCACCTGATGGTATATTTGTGTTTAAATCCCCAAAGAGCTGTGYCATCCCAAATGATTTGTGACAGTCACCTTCTGTCTCTCAGTGCAATAACTCTCTCCTTTGTTTCAGGCCTGCTTTAGCTCTGTGCTGTTCTGTAGGTCAAGTTGGCTTTTGTGTAGAGGTGTGTGAGTAAAAATGCATTCAAATCCAAAGCCCTGAAATCTCTTTATGTGCTAATCTCTCATCGTTGCCTTGACTTTTCAACCTGTGTAGGCCTCTGACATTAGATGATTGGCAGATACTGTCTCAGCTCAGCTGAATGTCCACTCGGACTCTCGATCGATGCACCCCCCC